GTGTGTGTGTGTGTGTGTGTTTTGCAGGACTGTGTGTTCCTGTCGTGGTCTCAGAGGATTAACATTGTTCACGGAGCATCAGCAGCTCTGCAGTTTCTTCACTTCCCCCCCAGAGGACAAACACCACTGATCCACGGAGACGTCAAGAGGTCAGCGTCCTCGCACATGATGTCACACTAAGTGTCTGCTCTTTCCAGACAGATATGTAGCTTGTTTTTTGCTGCATCTGTACGGAACAAACACAGATGTGTTTTTGTCACAATTACATTCTACATCTGGTGACAGAGGGTGTTTATCAGCTGCTCTGTAAACCTTCCTTTTCATTCCGTCCACTTTCTGTTGTCTCTCTGCAGCTCTAACATCTTGCTCGACCGTCACCTGGTGGCCAAGCTTTCCGACTTTGGTCTGGCTCGGTTCGTGTCTCGGAGCCCGTCGGCTTCCTTGCCGGCTCCAACGATGTCCGTTGGTAAAACGGCGACAGTTAGAGGAACGTTGGCTTATCTGCCGGACGAATATGTGAGGAACGGACAGCTGGGGACGGCGGTGGACGTCTACAGCTTTGGAGTGGTGAGACGCTGCAGGGGCTGATGAGAAATGTAGTCTGCTGCTGATTTGAGACACGTGAGAATATGAGCGTTAAACGTTGGACGACTGTAAAGTGGCGGTGAGGACAAACGGCAGGTTCTCTGTGTTCCAGGTTCTGCTGGAGGTGCTGACTGGACGCCGAGCGCTGCACACAGACGGGAGGTCTGGACAGAGATTCCTGGTCAGAACACACACCTGCTCACACAGCCGAGTCATAAACTAAGGTGTCATGTGATCCGTAGTCTGCAGGCTGGTCTTATCCAATCAGAACCAGCTGCTGATCAGCCCATGTTGGTGGTGGTGGTCAGTGTTTCCTGAGGATGATCCTGAGCTGAGGCTGAGGGTCATGTCTGCTGTATTGACTTGTTCCTTTCTCTTTGCTGTAACTGAATCCTTTCACACTCACTGAGCATCAGTAAGACTAAAACTACCCATCATACAACACGGTTTGTGAAAGCAGCAGCAGGACTTGACATTCAGTCAGAAGTAGTTAGTGATTAATTGTTAATTTATCAATCGCAGGAAACAATTCAACTGATGAAAATTATGCACTACTCACAATAAGTTAGGGATATTGTGAGAGACTCAGTGGATTTCAT